TTTTTTTTTTTAATAATTTACAAACATAAAAATAAATGGGCATAATGTTACATTATTACACAATAACTATAGAGTTCAACCAGCAAAATTCACCAATGGGGTCACCCTTTTAGTTTAACCAAAACAAATATTTTTTTTTATCAATAGCAGGCGGATTAACGATGTATTATGACCAGCCATCCCCTGCGGTACAGTGTTCTGTGTGTGAACGCTCCCCCTTACTCAGCAGTGGGCAGCAATACTATTTTTACCACTGGTCGTGTCACGGTGCCCGCGCTAGTCAGCAAGCGGACGACGCGTACCTGCCCGTCAGATCCTGGTAACAATTCAATGATTCGGCCCATGCGCCATGACAGAGGGGGGCTCTGGTTGTCAACAATGACTACCATATCATCGACTTTAACGGGAGGGCTACCTGTGGTCCACTTGGAGCGCTCCTGGAGGGTTGTCAAATACTCGGCGGACCAACGCCGCCAAAATGCCTGATGACATTGGTCCATGAGCTTCCAACGATTGGTCAACGTGCGACTAGTGGCAGGGCCTGACCTAGGGGGTACTGCTAGCAGCGGTTGTCCTATTAAAAAATGCCCCGGCGTTAGGCACTCGAGGTCATGGGGATCGGTGGACGCAGGTGTCAGCGGCCGGGAATTAAGAACGGCTTCTACGCGACACAAGATCGTTGTAAACTCTTCGTACGAAAATGTATAATTCCCAATGATCCGGATTAATAACCGTTTCGTCGATCGTACCGCCGCCTCCCACAAACCACCAAAGTGGGGGGCGCTCGGCGGGTTAAAATGCCAAGTGCAGAGAGCACGTGCGTTGCCTACAGCGGCCTGACCTTCGGAGCTAAGAATCAATGAACGTAACTTTTTGTCCGCCCCCACGAAGTTCGTACCACAATCCGAATATATGTCGCTCGGTAGACCACGACGGGCGACGAAGCGGTCGAATGCTGCCAAGAACGCGTCGGTGGATAAGTCAGATACCACTTCCAGGTGCACAGCCTTTACAGCAAAACAAACAAATACTGCAATGTATATTTTATATTCACGGGACTTCCGGAGTCGATTTTCGCGCATCTGTAGTGGCCCCGCGTAATCAACGCCTACACACATAAACGGCCGTTGGGATTGCACGCGTGTGGCTGGCAGGTCAGCCATTAGGGGAGTCGGCGGCTTTGCGTCAAACCTAATACAACGAGCGCAGGTCGTCAGTACATGATGCAACACCGACCGCAGCGAGACGACCCAAAACTGTCGTGCGATAAGTGCAGCCAGCACGCGTGGGCCCGCATGGCCCGTCAACAAGTGCCACCGACGACACAACGATGACGCAAAAACCGACCCTTTTGCCAATAACATCGGGTGCTTGCAATCGTAACTTAGCAGCGAATGACGCAGGCGGCCGCCTACGCGGATAAGACCATCGGGACCAATGAATGGAGCTAGCCGTGCTAATGGTCGAGACGAAATCGCGCGACCACCTGACAACTCTCGGTGCAACACGGCGAAGTGGATGCGTTGAGACTCGATGACCAAAGCTCGAGCGGCCCGGTCAAGTTCAGATTTTTGCAAAAATATCGACACGCATGGCCTTTTACTGCTACATGCGTCAATAAAACGATACATTCTGGCCACTACTCGCAGCATGCGGTCGTAGGACGAAAACCTGTCAAACCATTCACGCGGTGCCTCCTCCACGCAAGCAGTGCACGAAACTGGTCGGACCTCGGGTAAATCACTTAGTGGTAACGACGACGGACGGGTGCCCCACTCCGCGGGGTCCGTGTAAACAATGGGCGGTCCCCGCCAATATAAATCAAGTTGTGCTAAAGCGGAGGGCATTACCCCGCGCGATGCACAGTCAGCAGGGTTGACGAGTGATTCGACATATCGCCATTCACAATCCGGTAACAACGATTGGATTTGGTGTACGCGGTTGGATATATACACTTTTACCGTTTCGTGGGGTACGGTTAACCATGACAGAACAATCATAGAATCCGACCAAGCGTGTACTCCAACTATACTGAGCTGTGACTCCAAAATACGGCGGAGACGCCCTAACCACCGGGCCAACAATAACGCGGCATTTAATTCTAACCGCGGAACAGTTAATGACTTTAGTGGCGCTAACTTTGTTTTTGTACCGATTAGAAAAACTGATTGGTGCGCCGGCGCGTCTCTCATTCGCACGTACGCAACTGCGGCGTACCCGTGCAGCGACGCGTCGCAGAAACCTAGCAGGTAACACGGGGCATTTTGGCTCGAGTTAATATAACGCGGTACTTTAATGGTTTTCAGCGACGGCAAGTCCGACACGAAGGCGACCCATTCGTCACGAATGTCCGGTGGTAGGGGTTCATCCCACGACAACTCTTGTCGCCAAGTCCGCTGCATGACGGTTTTGGCCATAAAGACGGCCGGTCCGAAAAAACCTAGTGGGTCGAAAATGCGTGCCACTAGTGATAGGATACCTCGCTTTGTCAGTACAGGCTACGTATCAAGGTGAAGTGCGCAACAGAAATAGTCGCCACCCGGGTGCCATTCTAGTCCCAATACTTTTGTTCCGTACCCTTCAACGTCTTCGAATGACGTCGGATTATTTACGCGGTCCGAGACCGGGACGGCGTCCAAAATAACCTTAGTGTTAGAAGCCCACTTTTTTAAATCAAGACCCGCCCCTTTTAAAATTGAAATTAAATTCGATTGGAGGTTTAACGCGTCGTTAATCGAGTCGGCGCCGTCGCAGATATCGTCAACATAAGTTTGGCGCGTTAAGGCATTCTGTACCGACCCACTGGTAGCGCAATCGTCGCGCGCAATGGCCTGCAACACACGCAACGCGAGATAAGGTGCGCAGTTTACGCCGTATGTAACGGTATTTAATTCATACTCAACTAATTCGTCGTGTGGAGACGCGCGCCACAAAACATGCTGATACTGCCGGTATTCGGGTAAAATTAACACCTGTCGGTACATTTTACATATGTCCGTTGTAAACGCATACCTATGGACCCGGAAACGAGTTAATATGTCGATAATGTCCTGCTGAAGTTTAGGGCCCGGCAGCAATGCCTGATTCAACGACGGCCCACGGGCACCATGCGCGGACGCGTCAAACACAACTCGAATTTTACTCTCGTTCACCTCGGGGCGGTATACTGCGTGATGGGGGATTAAATACCGACCAGGTGACGCGGCAACCGACATGTGACCTAAGGACCTGTACTCGGACATGAACTGCAAATATAGTGATTTTAATTTTGGATTTTTCGCCAGTTTTCGTTCGAGAGATTCGAACCGCCGTACAGCTAGGTCACGGGAACCAGAAAATGTGTCAGCGGACACCGGTGCGCGGAAAGGAAGTGGCACCGAAAAACGGCCAGACGGCAGCCGTACGTGTTGATCGCGGAATATTTGTTCACAACGCCCCTCGTCAGTAAAAATTACGGGGGCAGCTTCCGGCTCTTCCACTTGCCAAAATCTTTCAACCAACCCTTCGAGAGAAACCGTCAACGATACAAGTAACGCTTGGTGCGGATGAGTAACACTATGACATAGGGGGCCTATCAAAATCCATCCGAACACTGAACTAAATGCCGCCGGAAGAGAGCTATCTACAGTCACCTTCCGCCCGTCCATAATTGACGCGTATACGTCACCGCCTAGTAATAAGTCGATCGACGACGTAACGTTAAAAGCAGGGTCGGCCAATGCGAGGTTCGAATAACGATTTAAGAGCTCGCGCGGAAGTGTCTCTCTAGGCAAATCTCCCGTAATGGATGGCAAAATCCACGCGTTTACATCGAGTAGGGGCTCATTCGAGAATCGCGGTTGTACTGCAAGATTTACGCGGCCCTGTACGTTCACAACTGGCACCCCCGCTAACCCACTGATCGGAGTAGTCCACCGCTTGCCCTTTAGACCTAAACGACTGACACAATCAACAGTCACCGCGCTTATCTTTGATGCGCAATCAACGAGCGCGCGCATTGTGTGCCAGGTACCTGAGCGATCGCGTACATGCACTAACGCGGTACCTAATAATACGGCGGACGATTGGTGTTGTGGCGGCTGTATCGCAGCTGCACACACTGACGTGTCCGGAGAGGGGGTTTCAGTCGCTTCGGCGGTCTCTGACGCGGGAGGGTGGAGGAGGACATGGTGCCTGCGCGAACATTCTCGGCAGCGAGTTTTCGATTTGCACTTTGTAGCCCAATGGTTGCTACTAAAACAAATATAACACAGCCGTTTCCCTTGAATCCATTGCGCACGCGCATCGACAGACCAAGACTTGAAACGCGCGCATGTTGTCAAACTGTGAGGACCCGCGCAACATTGACAGGCACTAGTATTATCTTTTGAAGTAACCAACGACGTGGGCCGGGGACCCTCTACCTTCGGGTGGCGATCACCGCCTTTGCGGGCTTGGCCGGTCGCCTGTCCGGATTTTGAGGCGTTTGATACGCCCCCGGTTTTTCGCGGTTCACCAGCAAGCTCGAGCACCGCCGCTCGGGATTGCACGAAGTCTAATTACTGTTGGACCGACGGGTAGTCGACGTTGACGGACGACTCAAAAAGTTTACGTGTATACACCGGCAAACAACGAAACGCAACAGTAAATAACATAAATGACCCTAAGTCCGGAATCTTGAGGGCTGTCAACAACGACATACTCTCGTTGAATACACTCACAAAATTATTCAAATCCGGGTGGGTTTCTTGAGCAAAAGACGGCGCGCTTAACATCTTATCAATTAAGGAGGCGGCGACTAAGCGCGGTCGATGGAACCGGGCGGCTAACGTGGACCATAATAAATTATAATTGTCGCCGGTTACAGAAATGCCGCGAACGGCGTCGGCTGCGCTACCCTTTAAACTGCCAATTAAATAATATGTTTTGTCAAAATCTGACAGGTGGGGCCACTGACTTAACACTGTTATAAACCTATCACGGAAGGAGGGCCAGTAGCGACAATCCCCGTCGAAAGTAGGTAGCGGTATCTCCGGTAACCGCGGACCTTTGACTGGCTCTTCAGCACGCGTCGGGTTAGAGGACAACTTCTCTTGTAAGTATGACAAGTCAACCAAATCCGCACCCTTCGGGGCCACCGCGTTGGCTATTGCCTTGGCCGCATTTACCAATACCCGTACTTCATAGTGTAGGTCATGAGAAAACAACTCCATCTTTTTTAATTTAACGCAATAATCTAGCACCGAGTCATTCTCTACTTTAAAAATCGTCCACGCCCCGTCGAGATCAGCCGCGTTAACCCTGAACTCAGCAGCTAAATCTGGCTCACCCTTGACCCGTAAAGCCATCGCATGGATGCCACGGATTTGGGACACCGCGACCGTCCGCTTTGCCGTAGCATGCTCCAGTAAGCGCGTAAGGCGCTCCTCTTCTTTCCCTTCAACCATAACTACCGGGGAACCTACCACAGCACTGCCCGAAAAGACGTACTAACGTCTATTCAGTGGGACTACCGGCCAAAATACACCACTACCGAACCCCCCTGTGAGGTCGGATAACCACGCTCTGCTACCAAATGTTTTATCGCCGATATGCTCCTACGAATTAGGCGGTTGGCAATATCGACTTGCAGTGTATAAGGTAAGTAGGTACAGTACAAACAGGTGACCCACCGGTGAACGATACCGGCGAACAACAAATATAAACTCAAGATGTATGGTAACGGCGTGCGAGACGCCTAACAACAATATATTATAATATACACACTACACAAAATAGGTAAATAATTATGACAGGGCGCCCCACTATCAAATAGTATTATAAATTACAATTAAATGAGATTATAACATTAAAAAAAAACATATATATATATATAATTGACCTGAGTACGGCTCCGAATCCGATGTAGGTCAATGAACGGCAGCACGCAAATAATTGATACGGCGGCACACGGTCTATAAGCATAGAACCAGCGGCGGCACGCGAATGAGTAACACAACGGCACACTGTATGTATTCGCAATAACCAGTGGCGGCACACGGTATGTATTCGCAATGAACCAGTGGCGGCACACGGTATCTTCGGGGTTAACGCGTCGGCATGCGGTATAGGCCAGCAGCGTCACGCGGTCTCCACGTGGCGGCACACGGAGGTAACGACAATAATCCAGCGGCGGCACACGGAATAGTCACACGGCTGCACGCTATACATTCACCGACGGTACAGTCGGCGGCACGCAGTATAATCAAAAAAAAGGGCCAATACGACACGAGCCACGAGGTTTGTGGCCGAACCGAAAGGCAAAATAACGGGGCACGGCGACGCGGAGTCACGTCGTGCCAACGGTTTCAAAAAGACAGACGCGCCAGTCGTTGAAGCTGGGCCGGTGTCGCCGTCGTGCGACCGAAGCGCTAGAACACCCAGACGGCTTCTAGACGGTTCGGCGCCGACAACGCAGCTAGCGGTCAAGTCGGCGGGGGCGAACCGGTGGTATGATAATCCGAGTTCGAACAATAATACTAAATAAATACAAACATATAAACACAAA